TTTGATTGGATATATATGATGTCACTATGTAATTTGCAGCCACGGACCGTGGAAGTCGGTCTTCCAGTGGAGCACTGCACTTGACCAAAGGAGAGCTTTCTGTGCATTCAGGCTTCAGTAGTCTCCGCAAACCCAATGCGTTCTACGACTAGGCAATTTATAACTATCAGACGTTGGCACACAACACACACAGATGTAGGGGTAGTGGCTCAAAGGAAGGTGGATTCAGAAGTGAGCTTAACTCTAGAACCTCCATAATTATCATCGCTAAAGACATGCATACATGTAAGTAGTGCAACCTTAGCTGCACTGATTGAAGTTTGTCATATCTCTCAATATATGCAACCTTCAAGTAGTGTGTGTAGGATCAAAACAAGGTAGCTATTGGCCCTCGACACACTGAAGTTGTCGAGGGATGTGAAGCCTGGAGCTCTTCCAGCTTCAATCACATATATATAGCTTTAACTATGTAACTTCAATCCTTGTCTGCCTATGGCTAACAATAACTATTCTATACGATAAATGAGACAGAATCGTCGATAAGTAAGCCCAAAAAAGCTTTCGTGGAATCGCCCAAGTGCGTGGCGGGATGTGGCGCAAGCAGCCTATTACAATGGTGCTGTTGTAGGAAGCTGGTGGTGTGGTGCACACAAAGGGCACGACTGCCCCACCTCACCAGGTCCTAGAAATGGCTGAGGTAGAGTAACGTTAGTGGAGTCTCCAATACCTCCACCTTGGAGGTATTGCTATTGCCTTCGAAATCCAAGTCAATATACGCCAATGGTGCTCATGATTGTGCTCAGTATTAATACGATATTCATACGCAACAGCGTCTTCTCGTACTGATAGCGTGTTTTTACTGCCATACCGAAGCAACATACCTTGATCCCCAGTTGGTGAATCGACAGGACTTGTGTCCTCGGTGGCCGGCGCCGCTGGGGCCTTGCGTTTGGCCGATGACATTGCTGTGTAAAGATTCTGAAACTGTGTCCGGATACTCGATTTCGTCAAACCCTTTATATCTCTGGATATAATTTTGGCATACAAATATCAAATAAAAATATATCCATTATCTGGGTTTACGAAATTTTGTGTTTCTTATCTGCAATTGTATCCTGCACATTTACTTCGTAAAACATATATATTTGGCGGTAATATTATATAAATATATTATTATGTTGATTGGTCTAAAATTTCTGACAATTTAATGTCAAATCCATTAGAATTACCGAACTGTTTTGACTGTGAGTCGAAGTCCCTGCTCTATGCACTCCAGGTTTTGCATCTCGTGGAAAGGCCAATCAAAAGTCCTCACCCCTAGTGTGTATATTTGGTATGATAAGGGCATACCCAATGGTGCGACGGTACCATTGGGTTAATCAATCAGACTGTATTTTGACGTTTACCGACACTTTATTTTAGTGCGTAGTACCAGTACTATTTTGCATCCCCCATGGTGAAAACGTCAAATAGTAGTACTCGTTTACTGAATGGGTATTGGTCCGGTTACTGTAATCCATATTAGAGCATCTCCACCGCGCCCAGTAAATTGGCCAATCAGTAAATCTGTGTGCTGATTTACTGAAATTTTACTGAAATATTTTCGCACCGCGCCAGTATCCGGTTCAGTACTTTGCTGACCAGCAAATATTCCAGTAAAAGTCACACTGATTTGATGGACTTGTACTGGATTTGCTGGAGTCAGTATCCGGTTATAGTGACCGGATAGAGACATCGGTGCATAAACACGGAGCAGCGAAGCCTCAGGGTCGGTGACGGCATAGGTCGAGGTGCAGTTGTGGCGGCCCTGGCACGGTATGTATGCCGCAGTCAATAGCTTATGACTTATGTGGTGATGACTCTTGCGGCGTACGTCAGTTGCGGCCGATAGCGCATTCGCCTACGGTCGATGCTGCCGTGATGCCGTGATAAGTTTACTGTTAGGCGGCAGCATCGAGCGCGAATACGACCGATTGCTTATTTGCGCCGGTCTGAGCCCGGTCCGAGGCCGATCCTGCCGTGGTTGGCGGTGTCTGTCTTGTGCCGGTCGAAGTTGCATGGCTTACCGCATTGGCGAGAGTCGTGCGGCAGTCGGTGGGTATGTCTTCGCGACCGGTGGCCGTGTTGTTAATGTTGCAGGACCCATGTCATCGACTACAACTCGACAGGACCCGCGCCATTGACTGCTGCATTACCAAGGTCAATAGCGCGGGTCCTATCGAGCTGGCAGATACCTATTATGTCTGTATATCACCGTACTCCGTTTACTAGTTCATGAGAAACTGCAGTTGATGCCATTCCTGGTGATAAGGATTACTTTGTACATAATGCATGTTGCGCATCATTGCGTGCCATTCCTGGAGATAAGCATACCTCATTGTCGAAATTAACGCGGGTTTGATAGCTACCTGGTGGAATGATGGTGA